GACTGTATGCGTTGTGGTGGTGTTATCAAGATTGTAGAGGTAAATGACTTGTATTTACCTCTTTTGATGGTAATGAGTCTATTCTTTGTGTTAAATTGAAAATAATATTTTGGGGTCTCCATTTAACCATATTAAAAAGTTATCATATGTTGATTTTGGAATATAATTACTTAGAAGCAGTGAACTTATTATGAAGAAATCAATATTGATCTTTCTTGTAGTGTGTTCAATTTTACAAGATATTCATTGTCTCATGCAAAATGTCTCTCTTGTACTCATATGTGATGTTGTTTGAGAGATTAATTCAATAGTTGACAAACTAGCTCAGTTGACACTTTTGTCTTAAGATCTCTTTCACCCTCTAGATAATCCTCCAGATGCATATTTTAGGTTTCCAATTTTAGACAATTTACATTATTTGTAATTTTCTAGTAATTCTTTGGTCCTCTGGGAGGGATGGTAGTAGAATTAATGCCTTTAGTTTATTATCAAATACGATTTACATTGACACTAATTATACAAGAATTTTATTAAATTCATTAATGTGATCTATCATTGAATTGCACTCTCCTATCTTGAGGTTGAATAGTCAGCACGATAAATACTTTATTGGTTGCAAATGACTTCTCCTACATACTTAATAATTCCTTCATCAGATTTGTAGTAATTTTTCTCATTTATAATGTTGAATGCAACATTCTTGCCCAATGTCAATTTGACCACACCAAAAGTTTGTCGATCCAACAACTCTCAATCTATCTACTTCATGTCATCTAACTTCTTTTTTGTCTAGGATTGATATAACATTTTCTAATATTGATAATCTTTATCTGCATCTTCTACAATTGAAGTCTTTGTAACGCTCCGAATTTCAGTAATATTAATTATTACTACTTATATAAATCTAAATGCATATATATGTGTGTGTTGACTTACTTGATAATGATGCTTATGTGCATTAGGTATATGGATGTGTGAATTGTGTGTATGCATGACTGGATAAGGCTAATATGGACTAAGTGCCTAAGTGCAGGGAGTAATTATGGGTTGTTTTTACTGCAGCGAGAGAATTCTCGCTGTAGCGAGAGGGCCCTAAGAGGAAGGACCAAAACTGTCGCCTTGTCGCTGTAGCGAGAGACGTCTAGCTGTAGCGACAAAGCGACTGTTTAGGGTACATTTCTGGGTGCAGTCTCGCTGTAGCGATATTATGCAGAAACTAGAGTGCATTTTTCTCTAATTTTTTCACAGTAGTGAGAGGGCGTGTCATGAGAATATCTCACTGTAGCGAGAGTGTCGTTACCAGAAAAGGATTTAAAGGGGGTTAAGGTTCGGGAAAAGTTATATCTCCCTCTCCCTTCGAAATTCCTTTGATCCTCTCGTTCCCAAAACCCTATTCCACCAATTAATTGCCTCTAAAGCCGTTCGGGAGCTTGATTGAAAGTTGAATCCGTGTGGGAAACGCTTGGAGGTTAGTTTTAATGGTTAGGGTTTCGGTTTTTTATCTCTTTTCTCTATTTTCATGTTTTCCCTGGGTTCTCATGGAGTTTCTCCATGTGTTTAGGATGAAATCTGTGAAGAGGAGCAGTTCTTGGTGGATTTAGCACGTGGGATGTTAATCCAAGGTAAGGGGGACTTTACCCTATCTCAATGTATTATAATTCTTGTGTTTTTTTATGATTAAAGCAATGTGGCTAAGATAGAAGATAGAAATTGTGTTTGATAAAAATTAATATGCAATGTGATGTGTGGTAGAATAATTGGACCCCGTGAGGGTGATTGTGTGTGATGGAATGCCATTAATTGGTGAATTAATGATATTGTGAATAAATATGGGCTATGTACCGTGTAATGTGAAATGAATGTGGGCCTAGTGCCATGTATTTGAGTGTCATGTGGGCTGTGTGCCGTGTGTAAGCATGACCATTGCATGCGTGAATGAAATATGTGTGAATGGGCGTGTTAGCGCCGTTGTAATGTGTTGTGAATGGTTCATCAATACACTAGGGATGTGGGAGATGAGGATTGTAGAAATACCTTGGGGAAGTGGGAGTGGTGGTGACATCGACTGCGGAACAGGTGCACCACGGGCCACACACTCTCTTCCTGACTAGACCTCTGACTACTATCTTTGCTGAGCGATCCGTGACTACTCACGTGGTATCTGTGAGGCGGGGGTAACCGGCGACCATTCATAGTGTAAATTTGTTATCACAGTACTATAGTGAGTGTGGCTGGTATGCATATGCATTGATTTTTGTTTTGTACTTATGGATGTGAATTGTTGTATGTGATTGTATTTGTTGAATGTATTAGGAAGGTTCTGGAGGTGAGACTCTATGTTGATTGTGTGTTTTGGATAGTGTAGAGTACTCACCCTTACATTCATTTTTCAGGTAATCAAGACGATTAGCACCGGACTCAGTGAAGGGACGGATGGACTGCTATAGGACTTAGATTTTATTTTGAAATTTGTTGTAACTAAACTAGTCTTGTAGCAGTCATTTGATATTAATTTGTAACCTTTCCCTTATTTTGAAGTATTTTATGAAAATTGGTTATTTGAATTTGTGAAATTCTTATTAAATTGAAATTAAATTTAAGGTGTTACAGTCTCTGCTATCAAATTTCTCAACCCTTACTTTCCTTTTCTAGCACCATTACTTATGATGCTTCTTCTAAAGAAAACTCGCAATACTTCCTCTAAACTGAGGCTTTCGTGAAAAACTAAATCTTTGCTTATGTGAAATATCAATAAAGCTACATTCAGAGAGCTTACTAAGATAAATTATTTATACTAGTTGTTGGGAGCAAATAAAGAAAGAAAAAAAGGAGAGAAAATGACATAAGGATTTAACGTGGTTTGGTATACATTATATATACCAACATCCACAACTGAATTAGAAAAAAACTTTACTTTTTACTATATATGTAAAAATATTACAAAGTGCTACTTATATAGTAATAATAAGATAAGTGTCGCTTAAGAATAAATAACATGAGACTTAATTAGATTATATAATACTAATACTTTCTTTTAATTTTGTGGAATTTGAGAGTATATGCGAGTTGATAAAGTATCTAAATTCAAGTGTTTTGATACACTCTACAAACATTATTATGTCAGATATTTAAAAAGTTTATATTATAAAATAAAGACAAGTTCAAGCAAGTTTTGTATAAAATTTTTAATAGAGTCTATTTAACTTTTGATATATTGACAACTTATACCACTAAGAAACATATTTGTTTTGCAACACACTTTGTTGATGATAAATTAAAATTAGCTAGTAAATTTTTTAATTTCTATTAAATAAAGCCTTACACACTAGATTTGAATTAAAAGCTATCATATAATTGTTTCAAAAGTTTGGGAATAGACAATTATATTCTATCACTTTAGACAATGTTTTTGTAGATGATAGTTTGCAAGATATTTTGAAAGCTCATCTTCTTTTGCAAAATAACGTATTTTGTGATGGTGAATATTTTCATATTTGTTATTCTACTCATATACTTTACTTGGAGAGAGTATTAAATATGTGAAAGGATTCGATGGAGGAATGATTAAATTTAAAGATTATGTGCAATGAGTTGGCATTGACACTAGTGTTGGTTTATGATTGAATATCCTAATTAGGTTGAATTCAACATATTTTATGCTTCAAAGTGCAATCAAATATTAAAAAAAAAATTATTAAAGTGACCAATTCAAATTATAAATATTGTTCATAAAAAAAATGGAGAAAAGGAGAGAAGATGCATGAATTTGTAAAATCATTTTATGATACAGCTAACATAATATCAAATTCTTCTTACCTTGGAAGATTGAGTGTATGTTAGGTAAAAACTTGGTTAATGATGATAAGATAATAAAAGAAATGTTTGTGAGGATGATTTTAGAGTAAAACTAAATCTAACATTGGGAAGAATAAATTAGATCTTTATTTAGAAAAAAAAAAAAAACACTCGATTAAGGGTATTACTTGATCTTTCTAATTATCTTACTTCATTTTATTTTTTTAAATAGATTGAGCAACTACAATTTAAAAAATATTGTTGCTGATATGTTAGTTTCTCATAGAGAACTTGTGGTCAATCTTTAGCCTATAAATATATTAATTTTTCATATTCTACAACAAATATAATCCATGCTATAATATTGCATGGAAAGCTCTTGAAGTTTAGGGCATGCTAGTCAATTGGGAACATATGTTCTTCTAACATGTATTTTAATGTATTTGTGGTGAATGAACGTTGATACTTAACTTTTTAACCTTTATTTATCTTTTTATTATAAGTATTTTATCTAATAATTTTATTTTCTCTTATAAGAATGGAATGAGTTTTTAATATCTCGAGACCTATAGATATTAATTGGTCAATGTTTTAATATATTATTATATGTATATGAGTATATTTTTAATAAGTGAGTTAATTAAGACTATTATTATTATTATAAAAATGTTAAAACTAATTTAATTATATATTTTTTAGTAAACTCACTTAATTAAAGTTTACTAAATAAGAATGTATTAGATAAAGGTATGATTGATAAGCTTGTTAATTTATATATATATTTAAGTTAATTATGATTATAAATTAAAAATTAAGACTTATTAAAAATATAATTATTATATTTTCTATATTTATATTGAAATAAATGAAAAATGTATTTGTTACTTTAACTTCTTATAATTACTTTTAAAAGATATAATATTTAAAATTAAAATATAATTTGAAAATGAATATTATATTTATGAATGTCACAACGAAAAAAAACTAACTTATAAAAATATTTTATTTAAAATAAATCTTAAATTTTTTTATTTAAAAATCAAAACATTCAGTTTATATACAGAAGTAGTGGTTTGAATCTAGTTTTCTGGCTGGCGATTTTTCCTCACTCTTCTTTTCCCTCGTTCACAAAAATATAAATATTTAGTTAATATTATTTATATTTTATGGTTTTTAAGATTTTTTTTGTTTTTTTGTTTTTGTCTGTATCTCGCTGCGAAACCCAAAACTGAAGAGACGAAGAGAAAGAGAAAAACAGAGCCGGGAATGATTGAGAGACCAAAACCAATCAGGCCAGCTTCAAAACGGTGCGTCTCACCCTCCGCGGCTCGCTTCTTAACCCTAACCCTAATCCCGGCATTTCTCCGGTCGCCGTCGACGACGCTCCGGTCGTACTAACCCACCCAACCAGAAATCCATCAATTTCACCGATTCAACGCTTCATTCTATTCTCCCGCAAGATCGAATCGATCTGCAAAAAGAAGGGGGGCGATCTCGTAGGTTGAAACGATGCCGTCTCACGCGGATCTGGACCGTCAGATCGAGCACCTGATGGAGTGCAAGCCTCTATCAGAGTCGGAGGTGAAGGTGCTGTGCGATCAAGCGAGGGCGATTCTGGTGGAGGAGTGGAACGTGCAACCGGTGAAGTGCCCCGTCACGGTGTGTGGCGATATTCATGGCCAGTTCTACGATCTCATCGAGTTATTTCGGATTGGAGGGAGTGCACCCGATACCAATTACCTCTTTATGGGTGATTATGTAGGTTAGTAACTCTTCGAGTTCCGGGATTTCTCTTTTATATTGCTAAGAAGAGGGTGTTTTGGCGACTCGATGTGTAATTGCTTTCAGATGGTTGTGTTGAGTTTTAAAGTTGAACATTTTATACTGATTTAGGTTCTTTCCGGTGTTTTCTTTTTATACTTGCACGGGTTCTTGTTTTAATGTTAATGATGTTTGGCTGAGTAAAATGAACGAAGTTGTTTGTTTCCGTATTTGAGTTTCATGTTGTGTCTGCAACATTGATGCCTTTGCGGAAATGTAATGATAAGAATATGAACTTTTGAACTCCTTGGTTTAGTTGTGTCAACCCAACGTTTGTTAGATGGAGAATTGTTAGGTGAAACTTGCTTCTTCCTTCCCTTCCTCCTGGTGAGGTGATTGCCGTGTATCAATGATTGGGATTTTGCGTAAGGGTGCTTTGAAGTTGAATTGTGAGTGTTGGATCCTGTTATGGCAGTGTGTTTATTTTGGCACAATGTTGGTGGCACTAGTAATCAAGAGCTGGTGGGATGTAAACGTTAGCACTGGATATGGAATAAATTATAACAGTCCTGATTGTTGTGATTCTATTTGTAATTTTAGTTATTGTCATCAAGTTGTGATGGACAAATCCAATTGAAAATTGCACCAGCAGATATATCTAGGATGTATATCCTGAGGGGTGAAGCTGTGTGATGTCCAAATTTCACTCCTTCAATATGCTTGACGCTCTGCCAATATGTATCTGTTAAGTATGCAAGGGGATTTTTATTCTCATCTTCTTTCACACCTTTACAGATGATGCTTGATGGGGGATGAGATTGTTACTTTTCCAGTTTGTAGGAAATAGGCAATGATTTCTGGTGACTATGATTTATAGTTTTATTTTGTTTAGTAATGTTTAAAAGTATGTTCTTAGTTGAGATTTTTGGTATTGCACTATATATTTGTTGGTTTATAAATTTTTATACATTTATGTGTGCATATCCTAGACATATTGAATTCTACATTTTTCAAGAATAGAAGTGTAGCTGTGCACCTGTATCATATCTGTCCATCAAAGGTTGTACCATTGGTCATTATTGTCCTTTCTTTTGTCATATGGCGTTTTATGATTTTCAAGTTGCTTTCCTTAATTCATGCAGATCGTGGATACTATTCAGTGGAGACTGTTACGCTTCTGGTGGCCTTGAAAGTCCGTTACAGAGACAGAATCACAATTCTCAGGGGAAATCATGAAAGCCGTCAAATTACTCAAGTGTATGAACTGGTTTTTTTTCATTCTATATTTCTTACATGACACAATGTCTGGATCCATCATCATTTGTCACAATAAGGTCTATCATGTTCAAATTGAAGGTTTGATATATACTCAAGCATAGCTGTTACATGTGCTGTATGCTACAGTGAGATCACATTTCAGAGTTGCTCGTGGGTGCTACAAAACTCAAAAAGTGTCATGTTTATGAATTGCAGTTGTCATAGCTGCTGTAGCAGCAGTTGTCATGGCTGCTATAGCAAGTGAAATCAACACATTTTGCAGCTGAAGCCCTAATTTAGCTGTGTTTCTCCTAGGGCTTTTAAGGGGGATAATTTTCATGACTTCACCCACCTCTCTAATTGAATCATGGGTTTCAAATGAAACCTAAATTTTCCCACACTCACTCTTCTATGAGTATCCACCCTTCTCCAGTGACAGTTTCTGATTGGCAATATTTTCAGTGTTTTCTAACCAGTGATGACTTTTTCTGTCCAACCCTGCCCTGTGTCCATTTTCTACCTATCCTTGTTCTCAATCTTTGACCGCTCTCTTTTCTCTTGCCAAGTGATTCATTATCATTAATAATAAATGTCTTTAATTTTGGATAATTTTTTAATATTTGAGCATTATATATGTATAGTATATTAATATAAATTACTTATATCTAATTATCTATAGTTTCAGAGTATGACCATCCTTTATCTTGTATCGCAATTTCATGGTCAGCTGCTCTTTTCTGCTATCTTTGATTCGTATTGAAATTTTGAGGATAGATAGTGGGAGTTACAACCTTGATACATCTAATCATTGGCTTTATTACCCAAAATAGCTCACATGTTTGTGCACCTTTTATCTAGATGGCAACAATTTGGTTTTGTAATGTATATGGCATATTTCTTTTCTTTTTTGGTTTGTCTTCTCATCGTTATGCTGACTGGATATTTAGTTTTAGGACATTATCAATTGAAATTAGAATAAGACGATATTAAGGTAATATATGTAATGGTTGCTGCTAGCTGTCTATTAGATGATGAGTGCTGTTGTAGACTAGTACTCATTTTCACTAAACCGAAATAGGTGTGAAATATATGTGACATGTCTAGCATGCTCTGTTGAGATGAACTTGTATATGAATTCCTAGGGCATTGTACATGAAAGGATACTCTTAACTGTGAAACATTACATAGCAAGCTTGTAAGTTGCATCTGAATGAAAGTGTTTTTAAAACCAATTCATCAATGATTTGACAGAAATGAAAAATGAAAAGAAAAAGAAAAAAATCTCTTCAAACACTAGAAATAGAAGCGTTTTTGTTTTCTTTAGAATTGATAAATGTTTGTATTACTGTCATTTAATCTATATCCTTCACCTTCTGCTTTCAGGTATGGCTTCTACGATGAATGCTTGAGAAAATATGGAAATGCCAATGTGTGGAAATACTTTACTGACTTATTTGATTATTTACCTCTGACTGCCCTCATTGAGAGTCAGGTTTGAGTTGAATATGTTGCAGAATGTTCATCTGACTAATTTTATGCCAGTCTTTAACTTCTATGGATATTACAGATTTTCTGCTTGCATGGAGGTCTCTCCCCTTCTTTGGATACACTGGATAATATCAGAGCATTGGATCGTATACAGGAGGTTTGTATGTAATGGCTAGCATAAATGCCTTGAATTGTGTTATGATTTAATTAATATTAAGAACATTTTTATGTGAACAACAGTATCTTCAGCTAGATATACGTCTGATGCTTAATCTGGTTTGAGAAATATTTTCACTTGACGTTGCTGTTGTAGTCTGTAATACTGTCGCTTTACACTGGAAATGTTTCATCTAGGACCTAGTGACATACTATAATGTCTGCTTTCTCTTATTTTAAATTTTAATTAAATATTTAATATGTTATTAGCCTAGCCAAGCACATTACATACATATTGTAGGATATCTCGAGCTAGACCTAGTGTAAAATTTTTAATATTTTAGGATATCTCATCTTTTGGTCCACAACGGAATGCCATATCTTAACATTCATATCGGTTGTTGAGGTTATATGGATACCTGGTGATTATTTCACCTCGTTTGCCTCACAACTTCACTTGTACATTACAGGTTCCACATGAAGGACCAATGTGTGATCTCTTGTGGTCTGATCCTGATGATCGCTGTGGGTGGGGAATTTCTCCACGTGGTGCTGGATACACATTTGGACAGGATATAGCTGCTCAATTCAATCATACCAATGGTCTCTCCCTGATATCCAGAGCTCACCAGCTTGTTATGGAAGGATACAATTGGTGCCAGGTGACTGACATGAGTAATTTGAATCAATATAATTATCTTTTTCCTCTGGCAATATCTTATTTATTGTGTTGATGACTCTTCTAGGACAAGAATGTGGTAACAGTATTTAGTGCTCCAAATTACTGTTACCGATGTGGGAATATGGCTGCCATACTGGAAATTGGAGAGAACATGGATCAGAATTTTCTTCAGTTTGATCCAGCTCCCCGGCAAATTGAGCCTGACACTACACGCAAGACTCCTGATTATTTTTTGTAACTTCATATATCTGCCTATTTGTGGTTACTGCTTTCTTCCGATACTGTAGATGTGTCTTTAAGGAAAGAGGAATTTCACTGTTTAAGTGGAGGATGATCATCAACATAATTCTTTCTTTTGGAGTTTACCAGCTGCTGCCGCCACCTTATTTGCACAAGAAACCAATAGAACTGACACAAGCCACCAATTGGTGTTGTATATTTTTGGGAGGAAGCGGCAATATCATGGTATATCTGGTTCTGTAATTTTTTATTATTAAATTAAATCTCAAGTTAGAGAGCAGATTTTTGAGTCCTGACAATGACGTCCATTTGATACATTTTGACGGTGCCAAATGAAAGTGCAGGTGTTGATTTTACGTGATTAAATCATATCATGGTAGAGGATTGAGTAGGGCCTATGCATTGAGACTTTTAAAACTAGGAATCTGAGTTTTTTTGTTTTTTTTAAAAATAATTTTAACCAATATCATTGGGTTTTGCTGCTCTGCTCATTTCGCCGTCGATTTCCTTTTATACTGAACTGCACCTACAGAATGTTCTCAAATTTATGTCGTGTGAAATCATGGGTTGAGGTGCCAACTTATTCAGAAGCTTCGCATGATAGAGGAGCTATAGATTTAGTTAATTTCATTCTTAGGGTATGAGATGGTCATAACTCAAAGTGGGCATAAATTGGAAACTATGTTTTTACAAGATTTAGTGTAATTTTTTTTAGAGTACAGGATTTATAAGCACAGTTAATCAAATTAAGTACATTAAAATAATAACATAAAGAAAAACAATAGTCTTTTAAGAAATTGTTTTAATGTTATTTTTTAGTTGATTGCCATGTTCAAGTTCGGGAGAGGTGGAAGAGTAGAATCAAAACTAGGTACAAAATATGTATTGCGACACTGCTAGGCGTCGATTGCTGTCTAAATCCAATGAATTCTTCGGTGGAATTTGTATAAATATTTTGTTAAGTACAAAGCATTGATATTATCATTTAAATTCTCAAAATTGAACAATGACACCTGGATTTATTAATGTCAAATTCTTTCTATAAAGAATATATTGTGAAATTTCTAACAAAATGTTCACCTATTAATAAGAAGGGAGGTGGCAAAATAAGTAGCATGTTCAATCATACAGAGTGAAAGGGTGATGGATATGAAATTTGAGTTTTCGGTTTCTTTAAGCTTTAGTTATTATTTACTGATTTCACATGAAGGGTTGTTTAGTAACAAACTATCCAAATATGAATATCAATAATAGCCAAATGCTGTCAGCTTGGATATAGGTAAAACACACTCAATCTTCTTTAAATTATTCGTATATATTTTTTATGAAGCATAGAACACAATATGCACCGCTCCACCACACCAAATGTACAGTTAGTTTTATATACAGAGAAAATGGATACCTTCACGTTAATAAACTTAGATGCTTATACTGTTTAATAATTTTTTATAAAATACAAAAACAATTAATTAAAAAAAAAAGCTCAAAATATGACATGTTAGAATCAGGCTATAAGCAAACCATGGCCAATAGAATTTTAAGTTTTTTATTATATCAATATTAAAATATTTATTACATAGCTAAAATAAAATTTAAATTCTCTACCAACTACGTAAAGTCCAAAATATAAACAAAAAAAAAAAAACCATCAAAACATTAAGGCCTATCAACGAAGATTCTAATGGGAAGAGTAAACATTTCTACTAGCATGCAACTTCATTATATGATATTTTAAAAATAATAATAAATAAGGGGTGAATCACATAAACTTAATAAAAACATAATAACTATAATAAATAAAAAATAAAACAAATAACACATAAGTAGTTTACAATTATGAAACTTATAACATGCTATTTGTGTTTTTTTTAATTCATTCTTATCACTCTTTCAAAATCTTGGTTATAAATCAAAAGTTCATAAATGTACATTATTGGATAAAAATATTTTTTTAATTATAACTATTATAACGAAGAACGTAAATACATAAATATATATATATATATATATATATATATATATATATATATATATATATATATATATATATATACTAGAAAGGTCACTCACAAGAAAATGAAAGTTCAGGATAAATTTACCTCAACGATAACCCTTTCCTCTAAAGGATAATTTTTTTTTAAGGGGTATATTCATCTAATAGATAATCTTCTCTTTGTATGTATCATGTTAAAATTCATCTCAATGGAGTTAGAGTCCTCTCTTTCCAAAGTATAATTTGATACAATTGGACCTTAGTTTCACTAGGTTCTAACATAAATTCTCCTAAAAATTTTTACATCATAGAAAAATGTTCTTATATTTAAATAAAAAAAAATTCAATAACAAAAGTTTCAATTCATACATCAAAAAATTAAATATTATCAAAAAATTAAAATAATTGCATCTTTCATAGTTCATAAATAATTTATTATAAATAGATAAAATACATATAGCAATAAGCTTCATATGATCAATAAATAAATTTAAGACTTGTATTACCAAACAAATAATTTTTAGACAATAATACATGATAAATAATAAAAATAACAATTGTAAAAGAAAAATGTCACTCATTATCCACTCATAAACAGTGAAGAATCAATTAACTCGCTTTTCAAAATTACTTTAGAATTTTGAGAAAAATACAAGAAAACAAGTGCAAATAGTTTTTAAACATTTTTTTAATAAGTTTTTTTATTAAGTTTTATACTTTTTTTCTTATTTTTGTGCTAATTTTTAGTAGACCAGCCTATTAGTCCGCTGGTCTACCAACATTTACTTATTTAATTTTTTAAATTTTTTTGGTCTTTGGCATGTTAACTCATTATCTTGTGAGCCTACCCTCAAACAAGTTGAACTAGAAAATCTAGCTCACTTCCAAAAACGAGACAATGGAGGATGGCTTGTTTTATGGTGAACATTTGGTAAGGCGAGGGGGGTTGGATACTTCTACCCTTATACATCTTTTGTATAGTCTAAATATATTTTATATGAACCTTATTATTTTTTCAAAGTCTTTCATCACACTTATCTTGGTATATGGCATATGCTTTTTTCAAGTCGATAAAATTCATATGTAAGTTTATTTCTTTGTAGTGATACTTTTCCATTAATAAGTTCATATTTTGAAGTGTTTTAATGACTTATTTTTATATGTTTGGTCCTTATTTAATGAAGAATTTATACTGATTTATTCATTAATTGTTGTAGATTATCACAAATCAATTCAATTATCAATGAATTAAGGAAGTGTTTTAGTCACAATTGAAGACAATTTGATATAGAAAGCAAGATCAAGCACAACAAGAAGCACGACCTTTCTTAACAGTCAGCCTTGGAGTTGTCTTAAAGACTATAAAGCAATATTTGACAATGAATTTGATGGAATTGAATCCAGACTTGATGTTCTTAATAAACTTAATTGGGTCATGTACATTCTATCACTCACACTTATCCTAGGCGAAATAATTTGGTATGTAGGAGACACAATTGTCATTATTAGGTTAGCATATGTCATTTGTTAAGTTTCAAGAACTAGTAGTTCAAATCCAAGAGGGAGAACGTAAGGTGAGTCTTGCCTAGGTCTCTGACTTAGACATTAAGATTAGGCAAAGTACCTATTAACTAATTGGCTACTAACAACAAGGGTGTTGGTAATGTCATAGTTGACACTACAACTATAGCAATATTAACATTGTCATTGCTAACTTTTTGGGCTAATACTACTGCCCTCATATGAAGTCCTTGAATTACCACTACCAGTGTTGTCACCTCTATTTTTGTTATTATTAGTCATGACACAATATCTATTATATAATAACATGCATTAAAACGACAGTAACATGCGAACAATATAAATGTAACACACTAATTCAATCGTTCTACTAGACGTGTCAATTTGTTTATAGTAAATTTTTTTAATAAATAAATGAATTCAAAAGCAATTTGAGATTGACTTTTATATCCTCTTAATAAGTTCTTTTATAATACTTTTATGCTTTAACAAATTAATTAACATTTAGAGCATAAAATTAGAACATAAAAAATTGAAGAATAAAAAGAAGAACTGCAACATAATCTTAATATGAAGCAATAAGAGATTATAAAGAAACAACATAGAGAACTATTGATTTCTTTTCTACCCGATCTAACTAATGTAGAACTTTGACGATGCAAGGATTTTGAGTGCAAGTATTTTAGTGTAAAAGTAGTCACCTCTAAACTATGAAATAAAAACTATTTATAGATATTACATAAAGTAATTGCCTAAAACATGTTAATCTATCACAATCGCCTAGAGCACATTTTTGTAGCTGTTTTTGCATGTCGTCTAATCTTTGCCATGTATCTTGACATGTAACTGCTCATAACCACTCTTAATGTAATGATATTTCAATTTAAATCCTCCATGTTTGCTGGACTCTTTGAACTTAAAATTCTTTGAGAAATAGCTTGATCCATTGTCTTTGACGAAGCATCTTCAACCAATTTTTCACTTTATTTAATGAAGCCAATGTTTTCGAAAACACCTCGAAGCATCCTTTTCGACTAACTTTTGACATTTTTTATACCTTGTAAAACTATTCATGATCATATTAAAATGTCACTTTTTGAGTAAAAATCACATTTTCTTAATCACAAGTTCTTATGAAAATTAGTAAAAAATATTCTTCTATTTTGACTAAAAAACGTGTTTCTCCTAAGCAATACTTTATCCAAAACTCGTAAAACATATCATTACCTTTTTTACTAAAAATTAATTTTTTCTTTGGTTATGATTTTTTTTGTAAAAACTTATCGAAAAATGAAAAACTTTACCAAGGCCATGTTATACAAGATTTTAGTCAAAACACACTTAAACTATTAAACAAAGCTATAATTAATCATACATTATTTAAAAAAATGCAGACACATTTTTTATTTTATCTTTTTTACTAAAAAGTAGCTCAAATATACACTTTCAACAAACTTAAGAACCTTATTTCAAGCATAAATTAATATAACTTGAGAAATTTTTAGTTTTTTCCAAACACCAAGTGTAATCAGAGCTTAAACTCGGGATCGGATTAGAGATGCATAGATGAATATACATCGTTTCATCATTGAAGTACCTTTGTCCATTGCAAAAAATCCTAAATAGCAACTAAAAGATAACTACTCTAAATGATTATTTAATCCCTAACCAACGTGTCAAATTAATCGATCCTTAATTTTGTTCCTCTTATTCATTAATAAGTCCTGACCAACGCATAACTTTTGTGTTGGCGACCTCTAGGCTAAGAGTCATTTTGTGCTGATTGGACAAAAATAATGTGCGGCTTAAGACAAAAAAGGGAGAAGTGTTCCTTGTCTGCAAGAAAATGTAAAAGATAAATAAATGAAATAGAGAAACACATTATCAAAAGAAATCAGGAAAAGTGACCCCAAAAAATATGGGAATCATGCACAAAAATAACCTGTATATCAAGATTCCAATTTGAGTATTTGAGGCTTCAATTTATTATCCAATGCCACTTGGAATCCATTGCTGCCATTGCTCATAACATCAACAGTGTTATGATAGCACAACCAACTAAGCCATGATAAATTGGCTTTAGAAGCTCTATTACAGACCGGAGCTGGTGAAAAATGACACAACAAGCTCTATCTCGTCACTGTATGTTCAGGGAAAAAAATGAAACAATAATCGTGCCACTAATGAATATTGAGAACAAAATGAAATCGCCACGTAAGATACAACGTACTGATTCTGACAAAGACATTGGTCCTAAAAGGGGTGGTTTTATTTATCTATAGTGAATGGAAAGAAGAAATTGGGGAAATAAACAAACGGAAGAGAAATTCATTGGGCGATATTAGAATCTTGGTGGATATCATGCGTTATAGCATTTGATCCGTGGGGGAAAAAAAAGACAATTCGAGAAGTTAAGGCTGCAGGAATCAATGCTTTTGCTGCTTTGTTTCACTCTCAAAAACCTCTAACTTTAGATCAAACTTCTTTCTCATCACTTAAAGACAAGCAAGATAAGGTCTTTCGGAAATGGTTGAAGATTCCATGATTGCATTTGGTCACTAACAATTAATTGAAAATTTGAAAGCAAAATGATATTTCACGATCGATGTTTGAAAATTCTCCATTTTCTTCTTTTCAAAGGTGAGTAATTGATGCCTTGATAGTCTAATTGGACTAAAGTCGATTGTCTTATATGGGTTCAAAGTCAGTGCTCCTTCAAACGTGTGGTGTTCCATTAGGGTCCACCAAATATATAATTCACCTGTAATAGAGCCATGTTTGATGGACTTGAAAAGTTTTTAGGAGCCAAATGTATAATTCACCTATTATAGAGCCAACCCCAATAACAATTTTATTTTTCTACGTTACCTTCATTATAAGATAAATAATCCTATTTTAGTAGACTAATGGGATTTTATGCATAAAAAATTATACAATTTTTACACAATATCTTAACTTTATTAATTTACGCGAAGATTTGATAATTTTGCTCTAACTTAGACAAACTCTTTTCGTTTGAATCTTTTTTAACAAGCATGCATTAATTATTATATCATAGTTACAAACTTATAATTTACAATGAACACCGTATAGTTACGTGGTTCATATAGGTACGTGATTTGTCACTTTTTATATAATTGTTACGTTACGAAACTTTCTTCAAAGGCGCTACAAGGAATGGTGTAACGGTTGTTGAGAGAACCCACTAAATATGGATTATACATATCTATAACCCTTTTAATTTCACATTTTCTTATAATTGTAGAACCATTCAAGCTCACCTCTTTTATTGTTCTTTCTTCATGCCTTTCTACTCTTTTCCGAGTCATATATATACTTTTTTGCTCAGCTCGTACACCCCATCGTCCATGGCCAACGGGGACTACAGACACAACAAGAAATCGGTTTGTGAGATGTCAATGTTGTTGGTAGCCAACATCATCAGATTATCATCTCTAAGATGCTCTACCTCGAGTTTTACAAAAGAATTTCCACCTCCACAAGAGGAAAGAACCCATGTGCCTCCGGTTGGCAAAGGCAACACAAATTCGGTATCAAAATTTTACAAGAAGAGTGGAAGAACACAAGAGCCAGAGAGGATTCAAAGGCCACGTTCATACCTAATGAAACCACGAAAGGAGGATCCAACAACCTATGTGAGGCATGCACTAGACGATGTTGACATCAACGCTGAGAACTACATCAGCTATATTCGTGGAAAGATTAGGGATAATGCTAATATTGAATATTGATACAAATGCTACAGCAGCGAAACGCTTTCTGCTACACTATCCTCTTCTGGTATAGTTTAAGTAGCTTTTTTCTCTTTTAGTATTGGTAATTTATTGTGTAAAGCTATATCAGTTAATGGTGCTAAATCAACAAGATCAATAAAGAACTAGACCTAGTATTTAGTTTAATGGTTCTACCAAATAAATGAGGTACATATAAAATATTGTTTGGCTTCTTTTCCGATAAATAAAGATAATGAATAGAACAAATTAAGCATGCGGCGGACATAGTTTTCTCGTCAAGAAAATAATTGAGATTATAATTATATCTGATTTTAATATATTTAGATCTTGCTAAACAATGTCATAAGAACTTGATTAAGGAATTTTGTTTTATAAAAAATCACACTGAAATGTATTAAAATCACTAGAAGAAGAACATTAATAACATTTGTTAACAAAAACTTTATACTTTTAATTCCTTAATATTTTAAAGACAACAGTAATTATTTACCTTAAAACCTTTATCTAATGCTTAATTGTCATGTAAATATAACTACACATATAATGGTATGAGGATTCAAGAAAAACTGCATAATGCATAAAAAAACATGAGTGATAGAAAATGTCCGGCGAATGGTAATATAATCCTGTGGAATCCTCTGATGTCATGAATATACCATATAAAATAGTGTCGGCTCAGTTAATTTAAATCGATTAAAACATAAGGTTTGAGTGTGTTAAATTAAGATTAATTATAGATTCTTTTAGGCTGATTCATAGGAACTTTTATTTGATTAAATTTGAATCAACCTGATGTATTTAAATGGAAAATTAGTACTACCTAAATCATTTCACCATCAATTGAAACTTAGGCTTAACTTTAGTATTTTTAGTTTGATACTTTTCGATTTTTATTGCACGATTTGGTCCAACTAGCTTGACATTTGTACAATTTTGGTTCCCTAATTTTCAAATACGTAATTTTAGTGCCCTTATTTAAAAAACAAAAATTGCACGTGTGTCTCTGTTTGTTTAACTATGGTGAAAATATTTTCTCATTGTTTACGGTGAAAAATAAATATTGTAAACAAATAATACAAAGATCAATCTGGGGATTGGATTAAGTCTTCTTTGAGTTCTTTTAAGTGTATTGTTAACGTGATGCTCAAACTAACGGCGTAAAAAGAGTATTAAGCAATAATAGGGAATAGTAAACGTGCAGAATTGAATCAAACGTAGAGGTTTTTTACAGAAAAGTGTGAAATAAGACACAAATTGCAGAAAAAAGAATGAAAGCAAACAAAGAAGTTGGAAATAAATTGCAGAAAGGTAAATGTGCAGGAATGTAAATATGCTGGAATGTAAACATACGACTCCTCACAACGGCGAACAACGGCCACCGTAGGTCTCCTTGTAGCTGGTGTCTAGCGCGGTGCAGGGTTTCTGTGTTTCAGAGAGTTTAGGTGCGATGTCTAGGTGCAAAAATTTGTCCTCCGTAAAATGACACTTTGGGGTATTTATAGGCAGGAAGATCACCACCGTTCTCCTCCTTTTGCGGGCACTTCTTAGTAACTGTCTTCAACTGTTCTGTCCATTATCCATGATTACTTGTGATCCTGCTGTCGATAACTGCTGGTAACCGTTATCACCCACGATCTTTTCTTTGCATAGTTGAACATTTGCCCAATGTTGGTAACTGCTAATAACTGCTTTTGAACTTAACCTTTTAAGTCAATTTTTCATCTTTCGAGTTGTTCTGGTAGGGTCTTATGAGGTTCATTTAGTTTATGGCCTTAGAATAATTTCTCTTTGCCTTCTCTTTTTGACTAATTCTGGAGTGTTGAGAGTTTGTCTTGATCTCGTGGACTTCGAATATTTTCTTTGCTCATTCCTATTTTTCGAGCAATTCTGGAGAGAATCTGGAGCTCAACCAGGTTTGTAAACTTAGAATATTTCCTGACTACTTGTTTTTCGAGCAATTTTGGGAGTCAGGAACTTGGAAACTCCTCAAAATTTCTCGAAAAGGTCATCAGTTTTGTGGACTTATAATATTTTCTGACTATTTCTTGTTTTTCGAGTAGTTTTGAGTGTTAGGGACTTGGAAACTCCTCAAAAACTCCTCGAAAAGCCATTAGTTTTGTGGACTTAGAATATTTTCTTGTCAGTCCTATTTTTCGAGCAGTTTTAGATGTCAATGATTTGGAAACTCCTCGAAAAAGCCCTTAGTTCTGTGGACTTGGAATATTTTCTTGTCTTTCAAGCAGTTTAGAGAAAAATCACCAATGTAACAAAAATCTCCTTAAAATAGCTCGAAATGTGTCTCTTTTAATAAAAACTAAAGGTCTTGGGTAATATTCCACTATTCTCTTATGTTCAGGCCTATTTTTTGGCTTCTTCTTTGACCCTCAAAATTTTTTCAAAATGTAACTTCTTTTAACATGATTTTTAACTTAGAAAATTTTCCTTACACCAAACACTCATGACGTGTAAGAATGTGAGGTGATATTTTGCTCTCTAATTTTCATGTGTAGATGTTCTCTATGTCTTTATATTGCTTTTAGTCTGAATGAGCTTCTCTAAAAACGTGTTTATTCTTTATGCATAGACACATAAAGTCATCACTATAATTAACAACAAAATGAACATAGAGATTTTAAATGACATTTTAACAATATTAAAAAAATTACGAAGACCAAAATCAAAAGAGTGTCAAGTTAAAAGAAAAAAATGTGAAATAAAATATTTGAGGATAATTTTTTTCAAAAAATAGTCAAATTAGAGGGACTAAAATTATGATTAAGCCATAAATTTAATAACCTTGTTTAAATTAGATAACAAATATAGTTTATAGAAGACAAAAAAAAATTGAGAACATTAATATTATGGTGAAATTAATTCCCCTAATTAATTTTTTTTCAGCTACAAATTTTGAACATATAAAATCTGCCTCAGAGAATTTAAAGACATATACTACTTAAAATGATAGAAGCAACGAAATGTAATGCTTTAGAGACTAAAATGACAAATAGTCGAAAAGAAACTTCAAAATTCAACTAAGCAACTTTTCTATGACTAACATTCCAATGGAAAATCACACAATATCATGGAAGACCTTGCATTGTTGAAAATAGTAGAAGATGGCACGTTTCTGGATAGTCTAACTCTACGGAGGATGTGTTCGACATAGAAATGCAATATATGAACAGCTAAGTGAAGGCATGCACAATATTACCGCACGTACAACATAGATAGATAGATATGTATGTGTGAAGCAGTTTTTAAGTGTATGTTTTTTAATAAATTTAATTTTAATGCATTGTTAATTTAAAATTTTTATATTATTTATTATAGAATATAACAACATATATTTAAATGATAGCATACAAAATTTTTTAACTGTTAATATATTTAAATTAATTTTTTATTGTATTAACTGTATTTATATAATATTAAATTAGCTTGGATTGAATATACTAACAGTTAAGCTTCAATTTGCCTTGTCTTGTGAAAAAGTTTATCATAAAATGGGTCTAAAAAGTTGGCCTATCTCAACCTTCATTTTAGTTGGCTAAAATGTGTAAAATCTTCAATCGTGTCTGACATTTTCGATGGGTTAAGGAAGCCAACTTATTAGTCTAAGCCAATGTGCCAACCCTAACATATAGGCAAAGTATTTGGCATAATTTAATGTGGTGGCATCAAATAGAGTGACATTGTAAATTAAATACTCCGAAAAGAAAAATGGAGACTAAATTACTAGTACGCCAAAATTAAAAAGCTTCAGACACAAAAATAAATACTTCGTTTGACAAAATGCTAAATAATTTAAAAGATAAAAATTTGTCTCACCTTCTATTATTACAGTTTGAGAAGCTTCCTTTTTTGAAGGGCTTTTTTTTTTTTACAATGAGATTTTCTTCTAGTGATTTTTTTTTTTTTTACTGAGACTTTCTACTCATATTTGATGGGTTTTTTTCTCTCATTTATTTGACTTTTTCTACTTAAAATATTTCTTTCTTCCTGAAATTTGTTCCCTTTATCCTATGTTTTTTTTTTCTTGTCATTTTCTATTATAATAAATTTTGCTATAGTCCTACGCTACAGCATACCATTATTTTTAAGCTGCCTTTTTGGTGGTTAATTTTAGCCTTGTGGTCTATCTTACTTTTGGGTTTGCGTTAGAAGGAAAAAGAAGAAATTTGTCACACCATTCAAGATAATTCTTTAGTTACCAATTTAACATTAGTGGTCTAACTTGGTTTTGGGCTTGTGCTAATCGAGAAAAAAAATGAAAAAGGAAGTTTGTATTCTTCCTATGAATATAAATATTGCAAATTTAATTCTTATTTTGTTGAATTGTAGTTATAGAAATTTTAAAGTAATTTAGATATTAGCATGTGCGTGTGATTATTTTGTGTACATGCTAATAATGACTTCTTTATTTAGCACTCTTGATCGTAAGTGTTCGATGCGTATTTTATGAATTAACTTTTATATAAAAAATGATAATTTGATAAAAGAAAGCTAAAATTATGTTTTTTTCTTCTTCTAATTTTTAAAAATTGAATAGATTCTTTTTTGTTAATAATATTAAATTTTTTTAAAATTATATTTTTTTTATTGTATTGTTTTTCCTTAAATTTGCGACTTCTCTTTGTTTCCCCACCTCTTCTTCCTTTCCTTATTTTTCTTTTCTTATCCCTTTTCTTCTTCTTTCTAGCTCTTCAATTCCCTTCACTGTATAGTAAGACATTGTTAGAAAAAATAATGATGATAATGTTGAAACCGAACTGGAGTCCACAATAAGTGGATAAGAGTATAATGAGACATTCTAAGTAAAAACATATTTTTAAGTATAGACGGACTCGATAACCTAAATAGAAGCAACAATTGTTGATAAAAGTTTTGCATTGTACTTGAAGAGAAAAATAATAAACCAAAAAACCAAGATGAAAATTAGGAGAGGAGGAAGTCCCATGGAAGGAAGAAGATGAATTTTTTATTTTTAATAAAGTAAC